CAGGAGTTCCAGCCGTGGTTAATCAGTTAAGGCTCCGAGTGGGAGACCAGACAGCCCTTTAGAGGTGAGGCCGGGGAAGGCAGGGCTCTTGTTGAGCGCAGCGGGCCGGGGAGGTTGGAAGTCTTTAGTTGCTGGGACCCAGCATCTAAGGTGACTGGCCAATCTAGAGCTTGATGAGTCTGCGAAGGTGTACACCTCGGAGAGGGGCATCCGTGCGACACGCTGTTAGAATTTTTCACCTGTGACTCGAGGACACCGCGCAGCGCGACCCGGCTCAGGGCAGGGGGGTGGGGCGGAAGACGGGGCGGGGAAGCGGACACTCGGCAGCAGGCGCACGGCCGCTCCGCCAGCGGGGCAGGTTCTCTAGCGTCCTTGGCGTCCGGCCCTCGCAGTTCCGAACGCAGGAGAGCACATTAGCATCAGTTCACCCTTTCTAAATACTTGGTGCTGGCATTTAAGTTTGCTTACAGCGCCCTCAACGTGAACTTTCCCCACCTGGATTCGCAACCCGCGCACCCCTCCCCCTCCTGCCCACCAGCCCGCCCGCCTGCCCGCCTCTGAGCACGTTGGCTCAAGGGTCAGCAGCTAGAGCCGTTCGGTTCCCTTCTCTCCCCTCTGTGTCTCCAACCCCCTCCACCCCTCCTCAAAGGATCTGGGTTATCCGCCCCGTTAGTATGTTAGCCAGGCATAACACAAAGGAAGCGCGTGTCAGCAGAAGGCAGTGTGATTCCAGGAAGAGGCGAGGAAACCTGGCTGGTGCCCTGCGCTGCAATACGGCTCATTGCAGTCTAAGCTTGTGAATCAGCCTCCACCTAGGAAAAAAGCGGTGGAGAACGCGGCAGAAGGTGGCCCTCGGAGTTGAGTTAGGCGTTTGTGGCTGGGCTATGGGACTGAAGCACTAGGCTCCCAGATGGGACCCAGAACTACGGGAACGTTCCAGAAACACCCCGGTCACCGGAATCGCGCAAAGAAAATCAATTCTCCAGGAGTGCAGCACTAGGCGGGAGCCTCCTAACTCCCTCGTGCATAATGGGTCCTTAAAATTAAATAGATAAACGAAACAACCCCCCACAAAGCCCCTTACATTCTTCTCATTAAATTGCTTGTTTTAAAATAACTCCGTGAGAGAGAGAGAGAGAGAGAGAGAGAGAGAGAGAGAGAGAGAGAGAGAGAGAGAGAGAGAGAAAACTGACCTGGGACATGATTAGACAAGCATAAGAGTAACTGAAATTTTATGGGAGAGAGGGGAAAGAAACTAAGGTTTCCAGTTGAAAACATTGTTCCCTAATTCCAGGCAATGCTTTGGGGGAGGAGTATTTCCAGGTTGTTTTTCTTAGTTTCAGGAGTTAAAAAAGAAAGAAAAGAAAAAGCCCCTGATGTGTAATCTTGAAGAGGAGTTGAGGAAAGAAGTAGAAAGTCAACCCAAGGCAACCTCTCACTGAGTGGCGCTGGCTGGCCCGGGTCTGAACTTGATCTGGATGTGACTTGATTAGCATCCCACTTGAATTCTGAAGTCTTCAAGCATTTATTCCATTCAAGCCCTTTCCTTCCCGGATTTTGAGAGAGAATATTCTGCTTTTATACTCTAAGTTGACTAGGACATAGAGAACCCCCAGATATCAGGAAGTGGCATCTAGAAGGAGGGATGCTCCTCACTTTCCAGGGCTGCAGAGGGGAGCTCACGCTCATCATGAGCTCTGCTCTTACACTGCGCAGTCACAGCTAGCAATTGGAGAAATGAGGAAGTTAGAAAAAGAAAGGCAGCAAGTGAGGATTTCCCCTTTCTTAGATTAAAAAGTATATTTATAAGTAGGAAAATGCATGCATTTTACAAGTTAAAGTTGAGCTGAATGGGTATTTTCCAGCCCCAAATTGCTTACTAGTATGATGGCTGGAGAAGAAAAAAAAAAGGTGAGGGCTGCAGTCTGAGCTGTCCAAAGTTCAATGAACCGAGCTAGACTAGGATCTAAAAAGAGAAACACCAATGGAAACATTATGGCCTCAAACTTTACTATTTGAAGAAAAAGTCAGAATATTTAAAGTAATCTGTTATTGAATGTTATTTGGATACAGTAAATTGGATCATTGGTAGAAAATAAAACTTGAATAAATGGCTTCTGTTCAAAAACCTTATATCTTCCCAAATGGATTGTATTTTTAATTAGTAAGATTGTAAAACCTTCCAAGTTACTTCATTTAATTACATTTTTACTCTCATGAGTTTCTGCAGATGCCATGATTCTTTCGGTTCAGGAACATCTTATTTCTAAATTTCAGCATAATTTAATTTCCTATTTAGCCCAAGGTAGCTTAAAAATAATCACCTTTTTGCACGTAATTACCTTGAAGTAATTACACATTATCTTAACTCCATTTAGTTGCAAACACATTTTACTACAATTCAAATAAGCAATTAACATTTAATTTTTGAAAGTAAAACATTTTTACAAATTTATGAAACATCCATTACATAATTTAAGCAATTTTATCTTTTCAATGAGCTTTTCCTCTTGACATATTGAGGTATCACATTAAAATACATTATAACTAAATGTCCTACAATATTGCTGCTAAATCAACAGAAGACCAATTGATCTTGAGGAAAGGTTAATTAATTTGGGCTACAGGTCTCCTACATTGGCCTCCACTGAAAGGAATTTGTATCGATCACAAGTTTTCTGGAAAGAAATGTAATAAGCATTTTCGTGGAATTGAGATCAATTTTTTAAAGTGACAAAACAACAAAGTTTTAAAATTTTATCACTCCAGGAATTCTTTTTTGCTATGGTTTATTCAAATCTGTTAGACTCCTGAGTAAAATAATGTTTTTTTATACTTTCAGTGAAATCAGTCAGGTATCTAGCTTTCAGAAAATGAAAACAGAAGTTGAGAACTTTAATAGGATTTTGTTTGTTTAATCCCTCCTCCCATAATAATTCTCACCAGTTTATTCTACAATGAGGGGATCACCAAGGGACAATGGAAATTAAATTTTATCTTTGGTTTCAACACTGTATTAGCTCTCGTGTAAGAAACACTGAGCTGCTTTCTACTTGGGAACACTTCTAAGTTGTGTAGTTTCTGAGCAGAACTGGTGAGTTTTTCTTCTTCCCTAAATTTAGTTGTCTTTTTTTTAATCAATTAAAAAAAATGTTTCCGTTTGGGACAAGGTGAAGGTAATATCTGAAGCTCTCCTCCCCACCACTATACTCACTCTCAAAACATTTTTCTTGTTTTCTAAAAATGTTTGCTCGGTGGCGTAGTCAGTGGATCTGAGGGCCTCCGGAGCTTTGCACTTGGGTCTAAAAGAAGGTTTTCCCTTCTCCCTCCCTCCTCCCCTCTAGAGACCCCTCCCCCACCTCGGGCGAAATTCCTAAATAAAGCGAGTCCGGTGGACCGCAGCTGAGGGATCAGCATCCCCTTTCCGGCCCTCTTCTGCAGGAGCCTCCGAGGTGAAGAAATATAGACGCTCCAGGACGAAAAGGGAGATGGGAGGGGGTCGCGGGAAGGCGGCGCGCTCCGGGAGGGTCCCAGCACTCCTTGAAACCACAGATGTTTTCCTCCTGGCCCTGGGGCGCGGCGCCCTGGCCCCGGGCGTTCCGGCGTTTGTGTGTCCGGGTTTCCGAGGAAGGGATTACGCAGCGGGAGCAGCCGCGGCAGCGCGGACGTTGGAGCCGCAGGAGCGGTAACAAGGCGTCTGGCCTTCTTTGTTGACTTTTAGGTCTCGGGCTCAACAGAAGATTTATTCGCTAGGAGGGGAAAATGCCCGAACAATGAAGAACTAACTGCACTTGTCACCTCGAGATGCTTGCGGTCCTTCTCTCTGCCCTCCTTACCCGGCAACCGGCCGCCCCGACCCCAGCCCGCGCGCTCCCTAACGCACAGGGCGCAGATGGCATCGCCCAGAGGTGGCTTGAGCGAGCGGTCAGAAAATCGCGTGAGAAGCCCACGAGGCGAGCCCCGCTCCCCGCCACCCACAGGGCTAGCTCCCCAGGCAGGTCTCCAAAGTGGCCTCGGCCGTAAACCCGCGGCGCGTCGGCCGCCGCAAACCCTGAAAAAGTTTCCGCTTAGTAAGAGCAAGAGCTAATAGGCCGACTTTAGCCTGGTGGGTGAATGCGAGACACTGATATTATTAACATGTTAAAGAGAGGGAAGGGAACAAAGTTAGACGATTTAGGTTCAGTGGGGCCGGGTAAAATTCCGAGGCCCAAGCTCACGCCTTTATATTACTTTTGGAATTCGAATTTGCCAACGTTTGCCCGTTGTATAAATATAAATAACTATTGGAATTGAAAGCTTTTTCCTCTTTGAGACTTTGACGTCCTTCCGAGAGGCCTCTAAATTAGATTGTGAAATTACTCAAACCAGTAATTTCCATCTCCTTTCATTAGCTGAAGTGAGAGCGGGGGTTGGATCTCTGGATTTTTCTCAAGTGCTACATGGCACCCCTTCTCTCATCTGGGGAGGCAATTACGCGATAATTAAGGGACTCACACAGCTCTTTTTATCTTGTCCGCGGTAAGGAGTGGGGCGATCAAAGTAAAGGCTGTCCAAGTTCAAGCCCTGGCGAGGATGGAGTTCATACACAAGGGCTCAGGCAGGCCAGCCTCTGCTTGGGCTGGTGTTGTTATTGTTGATGTCAATCCGAACGAGGCTTACAAAGAAATAGGTGGACTGGAAAGTGAGCCTACTATCAAAGGAGATTAATGATTTTGTGATCTCAACCAACTGTAGGGGTGTGAAGCTGCATTTAAAAGCTTCTTAGAAGGCAAACAAATCATCAGTTTTAAGCTCTCAGGAAAAAAATTAGAAACAATATTTTAAAAAAATATCTTCACAAAATACAAAATAGCTGCAACCCTGAAATGTCTTGGTGGCACAAAGCTTCCCCTGCAGGAATGAATTAACTCAGGCCTCCCCGGGCCCCCTCTAAAGCTACCATGATGGTTAAATTTTGCTGCTCTTTTAATAAAAAGAGGGTTCTGGATCCTCTGTGGTAGACAACTTAATTTTATCAGCTACATCTGATATTTTATTCTTACTCGAATACTTTTCAGATAAAGAAAAATGATACATTGGGGAAGGGGGGAAGGTAGTTAAAATAATAATATTTGAGTTTATTGTGGAAAGGCTCAAAGGAAGCACAGAAGGCTTAAGACCTTGTCAAAAACTGAAGTAAACATTACTGGGAATAAAGAATCTTAAAAATCTCAGTTCTTAGGAATATTAAATCAGTTTATCTATCTTTTTATTTATCAACTTTTATTGAATCTCCTTAATTGCTTTTTACTAGCTAGATGTTCATATAATAAACATAAACAAAACAAAGTTTTTAGATTATTTTCCTTTTTGTCATTTATATTCAGTGCCTGGACTTTGAAAAATATCATATTCAAAATATCTATTTTGTATTTAATTAAGGAAAATAACAGAAATCCTCTTTTTGTTAACATTTGGTTTATTTAAAGTCCTTAACTGCAAATGATCAAGAACATATTCCACAGCTTAAAATTTATCATTTTCATTATTTAAATCAAAATATTTTAATTACAATCACATTGATAAAAATTAACATTTTAATTTGTAATTTTAACCATCATTTAAAGCAATTTCAGCTGTAAAGAAAAAAAGAATAAACCATGCAATAAATTAACATTGAGAAAGCGTAGAGGAATAATAATGAAACCCGTCTGGCTATACTAACACCATGTCCAACTGTGAAAAGTGCATTAACACTGAATGAAACAAGCACATGATGGCAATAATTAAAATGACCACAATCAACTGGATTTTGGAATCTTGGACCAAATTTTGAAATACATCTCCCTATAACTTATCTCTCCTCTAACATTGTAATATTCCTTTTTTTTCTGGAGAAAATATCCTTTAAATGGTATGGATACATAGAAGCTAATTTTACACATTATGTGACCTCAGAATGATAAGACCATGGCCCTCTGCAAAGCAAGGAACAGAGTTATTGAGGAGGGCAATTCTCGAGGAATTGATTCCCAGGGCTATATATGGGTGGAGAGGAGGGGAGGAGGGTGTCTTTGTAACTTCTTGGTCAGGCAACTCTTTCAAGAGCGTGTATATCTCCTACCTATCACTTCTGTATGTTACGTAAATATATGGAAGATGTTCATAGCTGAGCATGTGCATAAATAAGTTCATATATGATATATATGTATTTCATTTTAAGACATCTGCTATCTGAATGTATCTGAAATGTAAGCTGAAAAACAAGTGGCTCTGATGTTTATAATCTGTTTATGATTTGCTGCATAATGGCAGCATTGTCCTTCAATACTTTTAACAGCCCTAGTGTCTACTTGTTTTCCACCCTTTCAGTTCTTTTGGTTAAGAGTATTGCCACAGACCTGTAAACTCCTGTGTGTGTGTATGTGGGGATGGGGGTTAGGTGAGGAGGGGAAAAAAAAGCACAAACAAATATTTTACAAGCTTGACCATCTTTCTTTTTTTTAAATAAATCCTGCACAGACTAGAACACGTCTGCAGGTGGAAGAGGAAAGAAAGGGAGAGGGACAAGGAAGTAGGAGGATTTTATATATATACATTTGTGGATCATTAAACTTTGCAGGAAAAATGTTTGTTGGTTTGGGGCTGTTTTTTTTGTAATAATATACACAAAGCGTTCGGAACAACAGTAACAAAGTAACAGTCTTTTGTACTGGGGGAAGGATTGTGCACAAAAAAATAAAATAAAAATAGTTGGGATTTTACTATGCTGCTGTCGGCTTGGTATGTGTGGTTTTGTTTGCTGTTGATTTCTCTCTCTCTCTCTCTCCTGCTACCAGCATGGCCATGCCAGACAAACCCCCAGTCCCAGGGAGCTAAGAAGTGTTTAGAACGGGTCTGGAATACACACCTTGGTAGTAGGCTGGCTCCAGGGCTGAGGGCTCAATGGGGCTCCTCGTGGCCACCGAGGCGCTGCCGAGGGGTAGGCTGGCGGGCAATGCGGTGCCATAGGGCGAGTACTGTAGTGCCTGCTCGTATGACTTGAAGTCCAGCTTGTGCTGCTGCTCCGAGGAGGACATGAGGTTGTTGATAGAGAAAGGGTGGTTGAAGGAGTAGTGAGGGTCCCCTTTCAGGTGCAGCTGGGACTCGTGGGGTGCCAGGCCATGCGCCGGGTGGGAGGGGGGCACAGATACCAGCGCCCCAGGCCCGGAGCTGATCGGAGGTGCAGCCGAGGAGGCCGGAGTCTTCAACTCCGAGGCGCCCCCTGTCGCCGCCGCCCCGCTGTGGTCCAGAGTCTGGGGGCTGGCAGCGGGCCCGGGGGCCGGCGCGCCCTCTAGCTGGCCGGCCTTACTGTGCACGCCCCGACGAAGGGGCGAGTCGGCGCTGGGGTTGGCAGCGCTCGAGGGGTCCTTACGGCTCTCAGGGCCGCCCTTGGCGCCGCCGCCGCTGCCGCTCCCGGTGCCTGGCTGCTTCTCGCACTTGAAGCGCTTCTGGCGGCGCAAGTAACAGCCGTTCTCGAACATGTTGCCGGAGTCCGGGTGCAGCGTCCAGTAGGAACCCTTGCCCGGCTTGTCCGGGGAGCGGGCCACTTTGACGAAGCAGTCGTTGAAGGAGAGCGAGTGGCGGATGGAGTTCTGCCAGCGCTGCTGGTTCTGCCGGTAATAGGGGAAGAGGTCCATGATCCACTGATAGATCTCGCTCAGTGTGAGCATCTTGCTGGGCGCCTGCTGGATAGCCATGGTGATGAGGGAAATGTACGAGTAGGGCGGCTTGGCGTGTGGGTAGCTGCGCTTGAAAGTTTTGGCGTCTCCGCCGCCACCAGCCCGGCTGCGCCCCAAATTGGACGGCGCGTACGCCATGGGGCTCATGCACGGGTTCATGGCAGCGGCGTAGGGGCCCAGGCCGTTCATGGAGGCCGCGGGCTGCGCGCCCATGGCCCCCATGCCGCCCGGGCTCAGCGTCGTCCCCATGGCCGTCACGCCCGCCGTCATGGTGTTCATGGCGCCCGCAGAGCCGCCCGGCATGCCAGCCACCGCCCCGGGGCTCAGGCCGGCGCCAAGGCCCGGGTTTGCGTAGGACATGTTGAACGAAGCCGGGGTCATGTTGCCGCTCGTGGTCATGGTGTTCATGGTCATGTACGTGTTCATTGAATTCATGGTGCCCAGGCCCGAGTTCATGTTGCTGACCGGGACCGAGTTGTAGGCCTGGAGCGGAGACAGCGTGAAGAGGCCCCGAAGGGCGGAGTTAGTAGTGGGCGCAGGCAGCCTACCGGCCGGGGCAAATCCGAAAACAAGAGAAGAGCATGTCTGCAAAGCATAGGACTCCCCACCAGGGGCAAACCGTCGGGCGCCCTCCCCAGAACCCGCAAAGAGTTGTCTTGCACGGCAGGGGAAAAATCCTATCTCCGCAGGCATGAAAGACAAGAGCTCACAGAAAATATGTCCCCAGGAAGATGTGTAATCGCCTTACACGCCAGGCTCAGGGGCCGGCTTCTAGGGCCCCTACGTCGCCTCTATCCATGCCACGCGGTATCCCAGTTTCCACCCCAGCCCGGCCTCGGCAAAGCACCCTTTTGGTTGAAAGGAGTTAAAACTCCGAAAACAGAATTAATCTCGGATCCTTTGCTTATTCACTCCACCTTAAGGGTACGGTGTGTATGGCGGTGCAGCCCCGCCTCCGCCCCCAGTAGGGCCACAGCGCCAGCTCAGCACACATCTCACCTAAGCCTGCCAGGCCCGGCTGACCACGTAGCGGCCTGGGCAGCGCGGGGTGGCCGTTAATTAAACTCTCCCTGATAGAGCAAATCATCTATGGCCTTATGACCAAACATTTCCAAACAACTGGCTTTACCGTCTTAGCAGTTTTCACCAAATGGTGACTTTTCGTTGTTTATTATATTTAGAAGTGTTTTCCATCTACTTGTAGCAATTGTAATTTTAAAAGGGAAAAAAATACTCAGAAGTTAACTTTTGGAAAAAAATTAAAAATAGATCTATAAAAAAACAGATCTATAATAGGAGAAGGGGTAGGGAAGGGTACATAATAATATCAAGGCACTACATACATTTAACTTTAACATGACTTTACAGCCATTCATAAACTTGCACTAATTTCATTACCTATTTCCAGGTCCCTAAGGCTTGAAAATTTTGGTGACACAATTTGTGGAAATAATCATATTTTTTCCACATTCTGATATTTTGCCGCTGATAATCTCAAAACCTGGCTTTTCAAACTATATACGGATAGTTTCAAATACTTTACAATTCCAAAATCAAAGTCCGCTTATTTTCTCTTAATGCTATTCTACTTTCTAATTCCCAGTTTTAACCTGTAAAGAAGCTCTTTTCATAGAGAATTCAATTGACTAGTGACTGGAGATGACTGTATCTGAATTAAACCTGAGGAAGAGTTCTGAGCTCTTTCTTAAATCATCAGTAGGAGAAAACCCTTATCAATAGCAATCTGAGAATGCACTAGATATGTTAAAAAATATAGAGTGCAGAACTATAAAAACTATTTCTGTTATTTAATAAAACTAATGATATCCTTAAATTTATTTTCATCAGAAAATATGACTTTATTTGAAAACATAAAAGGTGAACAAACAGATTTAACCAGGCACACGTTCTGCTGTAGTATGCAAATAAACTCGAGGTAAGTTTGTGAATATATACATATAAAAATCTAAATAAATTAATTACCACGAAAATACTTCCTGATTTTATATTTTTCTGTCCATGTCTTAAGGTATTTTTTTACTTTTCTTTTCCTCTTCCCAAGATTATGCAAGGCAGTTTCAGTAAACGTTTTCAATAATGGTAAACTATTGAAGGGTAATCGCCAGCTATTTCCAGACAAATACTTTTAGTAGGTGGTGGTCCTGCCTGTACCTGGTTTTCCTCGCAATCCCTTTGTGCACATAAACCACATGAACGTGCCACCAAGGGGACAATGAAGAGAAACAGGTTCTCCGCCCGCCCGGAGTGCTGGAGGAAAAGTCAGCTCGCACTAGCGCCACCCAGCGGTTCTAGAGAGGAAGGAGCACACTTCTGCCCAAACGGCTTTTGAAGTTTTACAAAATTTCGGAATCATTTCATTATTAAAACGCTCAACTTAGCGGCTGAGCGCTTTCATCAGAAGACACCTGAGAATTCAACTGCGGAAGGAAGAGGCCGCCCTGCGGGCGAATTCTGGCTTTTTCAAAGTTGCCTCAAACTCGTGCCGGCGCCCGCCCGCCAACCCGCGCTCGGGACCCGGGTCCGGGCTCTAGCTCCCGCTCTCGGCAGGGAGGAGGCAAGTGCGTCTCAGAGCGCGTGTTTTCAAAGCCAGAGTTTCCTAAAACCGTCTCGCCCTCTCTGAGCGCCGATCGCTGGGATCCAGTTCCCCGGCGGGGCTGCGGATCCGGCTCCCAGGCCCGGCACAGGCCCGGCCTGGGCTAAACCCGGTGGGTAGGCACCGGTGGCACAGAGGAGGCGCCCCCAGTCGGGGGCCTGCCTCGCCCGACCTCCCCAAGTACGGGCTCCAGGAACCTCCCGCCTGCTGCCCGCCTCTCACCTCCTGTGTGTCGGCGTAGTAGCTGTTCCAGTCGCTGCTCTCGTGCCCTTCCATCTTCACAGCCCCTAACATCCTGGAGCCACCCTGCTCGATGCAACCATCCAGCCCTGTGCGAAGCGACTGGAAGCCGCGCGGGGCGGGGGGCGGGGAGCGGAGTAGCTGCAGTCAACTGAGCGCCCGCGTCGGCCCAACGCCACCCTAGCGAGGAGGAAGCCAGGCGCTGCGGGGCGCGGCGTGCGCGGCGGCGGCGGCGGCAACAGGGCGGGAGGGGGCAGGCGGCGGCCGCGGAGCGCGGCGCCCGGGAGCGCCTCCGCGGGAAGTGAGCGGGCGGCCTCTGCGAGATGAGTGCAGTTGAGCTGATGTGGATCTTACGTCGCTCGAGTGCCCACCTCCTCGTCCTCTCCCCATTTGTCCGCCGCACAAAGACGCTCGCACCTACAAAGCCCGAGGTGCACCTGCGAGGCGGCCGCCCGCCAGTCCAGCCGCCGCGCCTCCCGCCCAGCCACGCCGCCGCGGCGCGCGCCCCCTGCGCCCCCTCCCGCCGAGCCCCCTCCCCCAAACCCGGCCCTCACTTTGTTTGCCAAGCGGCGTAATTGGTTTAAGCCGACAGGCTAGGGGAAGAAGGAAATGGGGTGGTGTGTGTGTGTGTGTGTGTGTGACCCCCCCTTTGGAAGAAGAAAAAAGAAAAATAGGCGGGGCCGGGCGGTCTAGCGAGGGTTCTGGATGAGAACGTCGCAGCCGGAGAAGGGCTGGGGGCGGTGGCGTTGGAGGCCGGGCTCGCGGGGAAGTGCGGCTACATGACCCCAGGGTCTCCCCAGGGGGACCCACGACCCTCCGGAGGCCCTTGCGGCGGCCCCGTCCCGAGCCCCTCCTGCCTCCTACTCTTCTGCCAGCTTCCAGCCCCCGCCCTTCTGATTCCTGACCTAAAGTTCAACCGCGGGAGACTGGAAAATACAGACTCCCTCCACCACTCCCACTCCCCCGCCCCCGCCCCGGTCTTCAGGCTTGATAAAGGAAAAAGCCCCACTTTTGCCCCGTCACTAGAAACTCGGCCGTCTGAGCCGAGCTGAGTGACGTTAGGCCGATCCGGGCTCCTGGCTAGCAGAGTGGAGACGCTGCCACGAAACCCGTACCTGCGGCTAACAGCAGGTGAGTCACAGCACCGTTTTATATCTTTATGACATAACTTTTTTTTTTCCGCCTCGGTCCGCTCTACTCCCCCTTGTCATCTGTAGCGATCATAAAGAGGAAGAAACTGAGAACAGATGTCTGTGTGATAGGGCAGGCGGACCCAAGTCGGGCCGTCCTCCCTCTGCCCAGCTCCTCCTCCCGCCCCCCTTCCGCAGCCTCGGGGACTGAGCTGGAGGCGACAGTCTGGTTTCTGATAGGGAAAGGTCAGGGGGAGGGGACATCTCCCTAAATACGCACTGGGAGAGCCTGGGCACAGGATGCATCTGCTCGGCTAGAGAGGTGCCAGGCCGAAGCCAGCGGTGGTGACGGAGGTGCCAGGTCCCATCTCTGAGCTGGAGTGGCCAGGCTGGGACCCCCGGTGTTTACTTGGTTTCTAATCAGTCCTGGACATCGGTGGGAAGTGCTCCTCCAAGCAAAGCCTCTTGGCTCCTATGAGGCTCTGGGTAGTGGATTGCCCACAAGTCCTGGGGAGGACCAACTAAAGTGACTGGGTGATAAGCACTGAGTTGGTGAGAGGTTACACCTTGGTGCCTGTGTGAGTTTCTGAGTGTGTGTGTGTGTGACCATGTGTGTGTGTTGTACTTTCCGAGAACCACTAGGTTTCTTTAAGTAGCAATAAAATAAAGTCTTTCTAAAAGGACTAAGAATCCGCAAAATATTCTTGTTTGGCAAAGTTTTAAACTGTTATTAATCTCATTTTAAGAAATGTGTTTTAACTTGTCTTCCAGATACCTTCCCCCCCCCCCCAGCTTTGTTCTTTTAAATCTTTCTTCCTTGAAATCTGGCAAGAGAATCACGTTAAATCCTTGAACCAAACAAATCTCTTAAATCAGCAGGGGAGCACGAGAGGGTGAAGATGTGCAGTTAAGGAAATAAAAAAGATAAAAGCTTTGGATTCAATTCCTTTTTTTTTTAACAAAAAAAGGGGGGGGGAGAAACGTCACATTGTAAGAAAAGAAATGAGGATGAAATTAAATCCACCTGGAACTCAGTAGAGCAGGAGCCCTCCCCAACTGCAGCCTGTCCCTGTGACTGCAAGTCTGTCCTATCAGTTTGTGTGAACGTATCTGCACATGTGTGGGTCTGCACATATTTCTCAGGGCGACAGTCGGAAACTAATTCTTTTGTGCAAAGTTCCCATCAGCAGCAGGACCTTAGTCTCATTTGTAAAGTACACGGATGCTTAGGCTCCTCGGCCTGATGGGGGGAGGAGGGGACTTTCAGTGCTAATGAGCTTCCTTGTTCCTCCCCGCGGTGATTCTCCAACGCCCTCTTGGCTCTTCAACCACATCGAGCATGACTAGGGTATTTTCTATGGGTAATAACAACTTAGTAATAGCTTTTATGGTGCACAAAAAGCCGGTGCTTTAAGGGAAAAACAAACCAAACAAAACGCTGTAACCGTAAAGGGGGTCAATTAGAATGTAAAATATTCTTCCTTTCAGCCCACATCTCAAACCTACTAGGCCTCATCTTAAAAACAAAAAATCAGCTTAAGGGGGAACAAGCGCCCACTTTTCATAGGGGATGGCCAAAGCGAAGTTTCTCTAGGGCTTCTTCAAAGCCCAAGATCGGTGGTGAAGAGTGACCTCTGCCAGCTTTAGAGCCTTGATCCAGCTTGGGGGTTCCCGGGTCCGCGGCCCGAGGAATGCCCGCGAGCACAGCGCCTCCTGTCGTGGGAAGGGAACGCTGAATCCTCCCGAAGGCGCCCCCCCCCCCCCACCCCGGGAGCGCCCGCAGGCGAGATTGCAATCCCGCACGCCTCCCTCAGCCAGAGAGTTTTGGTTCATAGAGCTGACTGCCCGAGGCCAAGAAGAAGGAAAGGTGGCAGCTCGGTGAGCTCCTTAGCCTCTCTCCGTCTCAGTGGCGGTATTCCAAGACACCTAACAAGTTTAGAAGGTGAAGTTCTAGTGTACCCAGATGTCTGTCAGTCATTTCCCCGAGGTTTAAAAACGAAGCATCAGAGCCATGCTGGGTCTTTGATTTGGAAAATAAACAACAAACAAATAAATAAATAAGACAAAGCTGCTGCCTCTGGGTTGCTGACCAGTACACAGCCAGGTGACGTGCTTGGCTGCTGCAGCCATTTCCAACCTTTTCTCCCAAATACGCCCTGTCTTTACTTGTTGCAGAAGACTGCTGCGCTTTCCGGGGAACCAGACCTTCCTTCAGCATCGGGGAGGCTGGGTGGGGGGGGGGGGGGACTCGAGGCAAGGGAGCCCCGACGGCAGCCACATGGCGGCTCCTGGGGCGTCCCGGGCCAAACTCTCTTGGACCAGGGCGAATAGCGCGAGCCTGGACTGGCCCAGGTAGCGGGGAGGGCAGGCTCCTTAGATGGAGGGAGTCGGGGCAGTCAAGACGGTGAGGTGCGCGGGTAGTCCAGGTGACTGAGGAAGGAGGGAGGGGCCCCGCCCTTCGCGGAAGCTGCGCCTCCTAAGCCCTTGGGGTCCGCTCCCCGCGCAGTAAGGCCAAGGGAGCCGGCGGCACGTGGTCCACCCGCCAAACTCGGCCATGTCTGCTTCGCTTTCCCAGCATAACGTGGCTGGGAGCCCGTTCCGCAGATCGTCACCGGGGCAGGGAGAAGCAGAGGGTGACGACTGCGAGAGAAGGAAGCAATGGCCGGGGGCTCGCGCCTCGGGCCCAGCTGGCTGCCTTTGGCGGCGCTAGGTCCTACCTGTTCAGCGCGACCGTTTAGCCGGGTGGGCAGAGAGCAGGGCCGGGGTGACGGGGTCAAAAAGTCTGTCCCCTTTCCCCTCCAACCCTTCCCCCTGACGAGTCTCAGCCAGATCTCGCCCGCGGCCGTGGGCCCAGCCACGCTCGCTGCAGAGTGGGTCCTGCACCTCTGCAGGCTCCCATCCGCCACCCGGATAAGAAGCTTAAATCCTCCACCTCCCGGGGAGAATCAGACGCAAAGAAACTAAGACCTGTCGTCTTTCACGCAGTTCAAAGTCGCCGGGGACCGGGACCTGGGTCGGTTTAGGACTGAGGAAGGCCTGGGACGCTGCAAGCAACTGTTTGCTCTTGCTTGTGCCTCGCCTTCGAGTACAGAGGTGTGTGCCGGAGCTGGGAAAGGGCCGGGGCGCCGCGAGAGGGCGGACCCCCGCGCCTGCGGTCAGCCTCGCGCCCACAGCGGCCCGAGGCGCGGCCTTCGAGTCCGGCCGCTGCCCGGACCAGTGCGAGGCGCCGAAGGGCAGAAGAGAAGCACCGAGCTCCTGTTACGTGGCTGCCTTTCTTTTCTTCTCCTTTACTTTTGTTTCTTTACGTCCTTCCTCTGCCCTTCCTTCTATCATTAAGTCATTAATTAAGACATTAATTCACAATTCACAAGACGTCCGATCCTCAGTAGGTAGGGGCCACGGGACCGCCTTAACCTGTCTTGTCTCTTACGTGCGGGGAAGTCTAAGTTTTCCGGCCGCAGCCCTGGCCGGTTTCTGTGTGTGTGGATCAACACATATGCACATCTAGGGCTTTCACTTTACTGAAAAAATTTTAATGTAACATTTGAATCCCAATTCTTTACCACTGGGTGTGTCCCTTCCCCTACTGCTCCTGGAGCCGCTGCCGGGTTTCCGAGCGATCCGAGGCGCGGGCCTGGCTCGCCCGCAGCCGGATGCCAGAGCCGGAGCTACTTCCCACCCGGCCTCGCCCGCGGGCTACAAAACCGTCTCTCTGGCCGTGACAGCCAGCATCTCCTTGCCAAAAGCAACTCTCATTTTCATGTATTCAAACGAGAAATGTTGGGAAGGGCGACTTGCCCTTCTGAGCAATCACTAGCCTTGGGAGGTAGAAGTGTCCGGTCGGTCCTCGCAGAGAGCAGGAGCCTCTTTCCCTGGAGGGTAGCGCACAAAGCGCCCCCCGCCCAGGCCTGGTCCCCTCGGCCGTCGCGCGTCTTCAGGCAGCTGTTTCTCCGAGTTACCGACGACTGCTTTATTCACATCGGTCAGCACCAGTCCCAGCTAGTCTCCCCTCACTCCTGCACGCCCCTGGAGTGCTACCTCTGCTTAGTGGTGCCCACACTTTGCCT